AAGATTGTAAAGGGATAAGTTCAGAATTGTGGTTGTGTAACAACTGAAGTAATCATTCCTCTGGCATCTGAGTGCTTATTTGTAGGCAATTGAATTGTTGATGGCTAGACTGCTTTGAGCTGATAGGAAGGCAACAAAAACCCAATAATCACTCATTACAACAAAGGTATGCAGAAGAGCATCTCTGAAGGCACAACAGTTTGGGCTGCTGGTTGTGGTGAAAGGGTGTGGGAGATACTTTCTTGTCAGACTTGGGACCTCTAGAGTGTCAGATTACATCTAACCTGAGTACTGTTGCTGACTGCATCCATCCATGTATGCACAAATTAAACCCACCAGTAGGATACCAAAGCTCAAATCATCTCAGACTCGTTCCTTGAACATGACAGAGTTCACTGCACTCAAATGGCCTCCACAGTCACCATATGTCAAACCAATATAGTACCTTTGGGATGTTGTGGAACAAGAAGTTTTCATCATGTATGTATCATATTTTCAGCAATTGTATGACTTTATGATGTCATATAATTCCTATCATGTCAATATGGACCAAAATCTTTGAATATTTCCAGCACCTTGTTGAATCTGTGCCACTAATACTTAAAGCAGCTCTGAAGGCAGAAGGGGATCCAACCCAGCACTAGCAAGGTGCACCTAATAAAGTGGCTTGTGAGTGTATTTGTCTATGACTTATATAAAAATTGACATAGGGATAAACTGGGAAGTCAATACATGGGTGAAATGGGCGTGAAATATCTGGATGAGAAAAAAAAAGTGCAAATATCTTTTGCACAAAGATTCAAAATAACTTTTATTTGGTAATTTGCACGACCCCAATATTCTACATGCTGAGCTAACAACACAACATGTTCTCAGATTCTATACAAAAAGTTTCCATCTGCATCAAAGAAATCATTCCCAACTTGGACTGCTGGAGAGGGCTTTTCCATTTTCACAAACTCTTCAAGTTCTTCCTCCGTCAACACCTGTCCATCCCAACTCTCTTCATCCTCCTCTGTAAGGTCACTGCCATTAGTGCTGCGTTCTGTTGTTTCTGTCACTGTGGCATCTTCACTAATACCAGCTGCAATGTGTGTGGGCTGAACAGTAACAGGGACAAGACTCTTAGCTAGGGAACGTGAGCCATGACCTTGAATCACCTGAGTCTGATTAGCCACAGGGATCAAAGCACCTTCTGTGCTTCCAGGTGGGAGTATGGCTTGTGAGTTCCTTTCGGGCAGTTTCAACCTGTCCTGCTGTGTCCTAGCACCTGAAGGCAGCACCTGCTGGCTCATTTTAGCCATTACTTTTGCATTCTGCTTGGCTTTTCTTTCAGGAGAGGGGACGAATTTGCTTCTCAGGACTCTCAGGATCACATCATGACTGACAGAGAAGCCTTCAGCCAGACGCTCTACTGTCCACTCATCTGGCTGATTTTGCTTCAGATGTCTGAAAGTTGATTGAGATTTCATATGAGGCTTAATTTGAAACACTTCTTAGTTTATTGTCTGGACAAACTTAACCCTCATTCTCACCTGATCTGCTCAATGGCATCCCAGGTTAACCTCCTCTCTGGCGCTCCTGATGGTGTCATCTGCCTCCTCAATATGTGATACTTCACAGTCTTCTGTCTTTTTCTTTCTTCCCTGAAACAAATCCCCAAGCATAACTCCTGCTGTAACCATGGCTGGATAAGAGCCAAAGCCATGCCAAGACTGTTTTGTTTGGTGGGTGGATCTCTGCCTTTGAAGCTGTAGTGAACTACTGTTGTTTTTAATCA